CCACCCGAAGTCTTGTGAAGATCTCCCGTAAGTTTTCGACGTGTTGATCAAATGTTCTTCCTAGAACAATTATGTCGTCTAAATAGACAAGACAGGTTTTCCAGTTAAGACCTTGCAATACACATTCCATCAGTCGCTCGAATGTAGCTGGATCATTGCACAATCCAAACGGCATGGCGGTGAATTGCCACAACCCCGATCCGATAGAAAACGCTGTCTTTTCGCGATCGTTCTTGTCGATTTCTACCTGCCAGTATCCGCTTTTCAAATCAAGCGTAGAGAACCAACTTGAGCCAGATAGGGTGTCCATGATGTCATCAATCCTCGGTAACGGATAGCTGTCCTTTTTAGTCACATCATTTAACTTCCTATAATCAACGCAAAAACGGATAGTGCCGTCCTTCTTCTTTACTAAAACAACTGGCGAAATCCAGGGACTTGATGACGGTTCGATGACGCCTTGATTCTGCATTGTCGTTGTCATTTCGTTTACTTCTGTTTGTTTTGCTAGAGGAAGACGTCGTGGTACTTGTCGGATCGGTTTCGAATCCTGAGTATCAATTCGGTGAGTTACCAGAGCTGTTTTACCTTGGTCATTGTCACCGGTTGAAAACACGTCTGCAAAATCAGCAATCAACGCCTCGGCTTTTAAACGGTCTTCTTGATACAAATTAAGTTCATCCAGTAGATTTTTGGTAAGTTCTTTGAGTCTATCTTTGTCAGTTGGTAGAACCTTTTCCTGTTGCTCCACATCTAATGATTTCACCAAATTTATTGATTGGCAATTACCTATTTCCTTGCCTTTTTTAATTTTAATAGTGTGTTTAGCGGTATTCATTATTCTGACAAGAATAAGACCATTTTTGTTCGCTTCTACCAGGCATTTTCCAATGACCGCGTTCTGTACATTTGTCGTTGAGGTTGGCTCCATTAAATAGAACTGGTGGCCCCCAGGATCGCAATTCAACTTGCCCCATACAATGTTTTCAGATGATTGAGGTAGTTCCATATCACAATCGACTGTTACTCGAATGCATTCTTTGTCGCTATCCCACATTATCACTTCTGTATTTCTCCATCTAAGAATGCGTTTTTCTAAGTCAATTTTGAACCCATATTTTGTCAGAAAGTCGACACCTATTATGCATTAGTCGATGATATTTGCGACTAAGAATGAATCTTCGAATGACAAGTCGCCTAGCTGAACAGTACGGAGAATCTTTCCATAGACTGGTGCTGTTCCTCCGGTAGCTGTTCGAAGGATGTATTTGTTAGAAGTCTCTTTCTTCAGATTGGGTACCAAATCAGATCTTAAAATCGATTTTGTTGCTCCGGTGTCGACTGTAATTACGCATTCTCGTTGATCAACTTTTCCGTTCAGCCATAAGTCGTTTCGATTTCGATGTAGTCTGGAAACGTTAATTACGGTACTGGGGGCGTCAATTCTACTAGCCAACCTCTGCCCCACAAAGTTGGCTCTTATTAGTTTTCCGCCCCTTCGTTAGAAGGGGCCGATCGTGATACGGGATCATCTTCTCTTCTTTTGCGCCATCTTGTCGCGCAATTTCGGCAGTAGTTATCTTTTCGGCGGTGTTTACAATCACGACGTAGATGGCCTTTTTCGCCACAAATCCAGCATTGGGGTACACCATGCTGTTGGGGTTTGCGTTTCACAACCACCTTCTGGCAAGAGCATTCTTCATGTACTTGGCGTAGACGTACGTCACATTTTGATGCCTGCTTTGCTGATTCAAAAGTGAGACTGTGCGCAACGGCATCTTTGAGTTTTCGTTTATCTGACAAGAGAAGGGATTGCTTGAGTTCCGAATCACGAAGGGCTTTGATAAACGTATCCAGGGCAGTTTTGTCTCTATGCTCGGGGTCTGATGTCGGATACGACAGCAATGTCAACCGTTCGATATCTTGTGCCAGCTGCTGAATGGATTCACCAGATCGTTGCGTTCTGTTTCTAAGTTGAGACCGATAAATCTGCTTCATGTGTTCTTCACCATAACGTAAATCCAACGCGCTAACCAGAACTTCATAGTTGAAGTGGTTCTCCGCCGGAATCGTCTGAAGAACCTCTGCTGCTGAACCTCGCAGGGCCAGTATCAGTGCTGTTGCTCGTTCTTTTCCGTTCCAACAGTTACTAGTTGCCGCTGCTTCGAAATGGGTTTTATAAACGTTCCAGGACATCTCTCCGTCAAATGCTGGTACCTTCAAAGTTCTTCCGGATGCGTGATCTAACGGCATGGCCATTTTTTTTGGATTGCTCCAATTCTCGCTTCAATTTGTCTATCTTGTGATCTACCTCAACGGTCTGACGATCAAGTTTCTGTTCGATCATTTCTATTCTTGTTGACTGTTCTTCAATCTGTTCTGCCGCTTCCAATTTTACGTGTTTTAGCTGGTCCTTGATCTGTTTTAACTCCTCTGTCTGTCGTTCGGACTTTTCCTTGATCTGTTGTTTTAACTCTTCTGTCTGTCGTTCGGACTGTCGTTCGGACTGTTCTTTGATCTGTTTTAACTCCTCTGTCTGTCGTTCGGACTGTTCCTTGATCTGTTGTTTTATTTCAGTTAACATACTAAGCAGAAGTTCCATCATTTAAGCGGTTGTAAACGTGCCTGTGCTAATTTCATTGTCTTCGTCAGCACCATCAAACTTGAATTCGTCTGGGTTCTTACCTTCGTCAATGAGAGCTTCTCTCAGACGTGCTACTAGTACTTCTTTTTTGCCACTTGTGACAAGGCTTCGTTTCTGTAGTTCTTCTCGTAGTTGAACTACGTTCAACCCACACAGTTTTGACATCGTGTTCTTTTTCTACGAGTAGTAATTCGCTTGTGGAAGATCCCACTTCTGACACCAATGTTATAATACTCGCTATCGTAACCGATTTACGATAGCGAGTAAATCCTCGATTGAATAAAATATTCCAAACAGTTATTAATCTTTATTTACAGAAGAAATCAACTATTATTAGTTATTAAACTTTATTTACAGAAGAAATCAACTAATCGTTTATTTCCAGTAGGTTCAAACTAACGCAACAATTAACTTTTAAATCGTTCAAAATCGATCGCTATGACAACGTCAACAAACAAATCAAATATCGCTTTAAATAATTCACCGAATGGCTATTCACAAAATCACGAATTTCACTAATCACGAATTTCACTAATCACGAATATCACTAATCACGAATATCACTAATCACGAATCTCTTGCGACGTGCGCTTATATACTCTTCGCAAGCGTCGTTTCTAGATTCTTCCAGATGGTCCGATTCCAGTATACTCTAGAACGTTCCAGTCACTAGAACATTCTAGAATACGCTAGAATCTAGTGCGTTCGGTAGCACGGTTATAACAATATGATTTGATTGAAGTGAAACGTTTAATCAACTTTTGCATTAGCGCATTTAATCAACTTTTACATTGTTAGTGCCTTTGAGAATAATAAAGGGCGCTTTATATATAAATAATCTAATAATAATAATAATAATATATTTATTTAATTTATTTATAAACATATATATTATATATATCTTTATCTTAATATATATATATATATATATATATATATATATATATATATATATATATATATATATATATATATTGGATTAAGACTGTCAGAAATGCAGATATGCAATTATTGATGAAAATCACAGCATGTTGGGCGTTAGTTAACTTTCAATTTAACTTCTTGATTTTTTTAACGGTTGATCTTGAATTATTTTCAAGTTTCTTTAGTTCAAAACCAAAATTTTTATTTATTTTATGCATGATAGAACAAAAAGATTTTTTTCGATATTCCAATATCATCTTCGTTGTTCAAATTGATATGTTGTGTATGTGCCCAGATGCTCAAATATATATATACATGTTTGTTTTTATTTTAACTAGTTAAATTGAGATGCTAAAAAATTCAATTCTGAATAACTGAACTGTTGTAAGCTATCGAGACGAAATGTTAAAAAGCAATGTTAATTTTCTCACCATTCAAAATGATTTGAAGCTTTTATTTTCAAAAAACTAACTTTCAAAAAACTGTGGTAAAAGGGTTTAGCAATGCAATAAAATGTTATTTTATTGTCTTCAAAAATGATATATAAATAAAAATAAACAATCATATCATTTAAAACCAAACATAAACTCATTAAAGGCAAACCAAAAGCAAAACGAAATATTAAAAAGGTGAAATCGAAAAAATCAGATCATAAAATTAAACAGAAGCAACACATTGCACAAGCAGTCACAACTACTGCCACGAAATTAATTAAAAAATGGTCAATTTGAAAAAGAATAAGTAAAAGTATCTGCAATATTGTCATATTAAAAAAAACTTGAGACCTAAATTAGTTATTGGTATTCCATGAGATGCATCCCAAATCGATCCATGTCCCACAACTATGTGATGTCAGCCATACACACTCGCCAGGAAAGCCAGCCAAAACAGACAAAACCGTAATCAAGCGATCTCAACTTCCACTGATTCGCTGTCTTGATATATTTATTCTGCAATCCGAATTCAAAAGGTCGTGTGGTCTTTTTCAGTTTTATTTTTGCAGTTATTTTAATTTTGTGGTGATAATAATTAGAAAGAAATTTGTTTTATAAAAGTTTCTTATTTGAAATTTAGTTAATGCCCAAGATCTCAATCACCTCAGTTGAATTCAGTAAAAGAGTTCCAAAAAATGTGTGTCGACGTTGAAACTTAATTTTAAGTTAATTCAAGTTATTATTCATTTCCAAAAACATGTACCCTAACTAACTAACTAATTGTGGAATCATTAATTAGGAAACATTAGCACAAACCACGTCAAAGATAACTAATGATTTTTAATGTTCCGGTTAGTTAATAGAGTGGCGTAATTAAAAACTACCGCAGATCTCATTAGTCGTTTCTAATGAGAGAAACATTCACGTGCGTTGGCAATCGTGATCAAATGATTAAAGTTAATGTCCAAATTATTTTCAAAATGTTTCAAACAACCTGCCCAAATTAAAAGTTATTTATTATTTGGAACATTTTTATTAAATTAAATCGAAGTTTGTAGGGAAAATTTTAATACTTACAGTGGCGGATCTAGATAACTTTGACGCACGCAACGAGGGGGTGGGCAAAAATTTGAAAGTGTTGAAAATTATCACGATGGGAGCCAAAATTTTCAAAAGGGCGTCCAGATTAGTGGTTGTGGGGCTGACGATCTTTTTTTGCTTATCACGTTCAATTTTTGGTCGATTTTACACATAAAACGGTCCTTTTATGATTTTTATTAAAAAACTGCTCACAGAGGGGGGTCAGTGCCCCTCTCGGCCCCCTCCATCTAGATCCAACCCACTGAATACTTTTATTATTTAAATCACCCACTACTTGTCCCTACGGTATTTAATTACAATATTAATTATTTTTTCGACAACAAAAAATTTCCTAAGAACATATTAAAGAAATAATGTTCATACATACAATAACTACATATACATACAACTTGTACATTCTATGCATATACAAAATGAACGTGTGTATACGTAATATACGTATATAATGTGTGATTTGTTGTGTTGTTGTATATCAATGAATGAATCCAATGAAACGATATAAAAAAAAGTGACGTCACACAGTTATTAACACTCAAGCAGCTCTGCGAACAACAAAATAACGTTTGAATCGACGAACATTCTTCTTAATTTTTTTTCATCAAGTAATGACGCAAATGTTGTTATAAAATTCACGAACATCAAAAATATGAACAACATCAAAAAAGTGAGAATAAGAGCATCTGCTGAAGTGATGAAGATCATCTGTCAAGAGACATGGCAACAGTTCTCGTTACGTTTCTTCAAGAGGAACGGAGGTAGCAAGACATCTGGTGGGCTGAATCGAAAATCACCTTTTGGAAATTTTCATTTGATGAGTGGTGAGATAAAATGTTGTTACCCACGCAACTACCGTGTTTGTAATATTTTTATGTTTAGATGAAAATTTTTTGATCCAACACACTTCAGAAAATTCTATTTTATAATCTCAAGTTATAACGTCATCATCGTCATTATCGTTGTTTTCATCGTCATCATCTTCATCATCGTCATCATCATTATAATCATCATCATCACCATCATCATGGTTTTTATCATCATCCTCATCGTATTCATCATTGTCATCATCATCATCATCATCGTCATCGTCTTATAGACGATCATCCTAACAACCTGATATGTAAAGCCTGATAACAAAGAGCCAGAACTCCTTCTGTTCGCCCCTGTTCCAGGTGTACGTCACTTCGTGGTTGCCGTACTGATTGCCGGAGAAAATTCGTACTGGCACTGTCTCCGCTGAAATCACCTGGATGTCTGTTGTTGTTGTTGCTGTTGCTGTTGTTGCTATTTTTGTTGTTGTAGTTGATGTTGTTGTTGCTATTGTTGTTGTTGTAGTTGATGTTATTGTTGCTATTGTTGTTGCTGTTGTTGTTGTTGTTGATGTTGTTGTTGCTATTGTTGTTACTGCTGTTGCTATTGTTGTTGTAGCTGATGTTGTTGTTGCTATTGTTGTTGTTGTAGCTGATGTTGTTTTTGTTTTTCATCCATATTGTTTTATTTGAACAACCACAACAACATAAATGTTAACAATAGCAGTAATATTAGTAGTAATGGTAATAATAACAACATGAAAACTAGCAGTAATAATATTAATACTAACACAACAACATCTTGATATCAGCAACCCAACCAACAAGAAATGAATTTCTGGTGCTTACAATACCACAAGACACAAATTATAATACTTCTTTTAACTTCAACAATATTTTTTCATAATTAAATTATCAGAAACAAATTTGACTTTCAGTTACTTGTAAAACGGCTCAAATATTTTTAAAATTAGCTTTTTTAATCCTGCTAAAAAAAAAGTAACAATTTCTAAAGTTTGAATCGACTGCACAAAAATAAACTCAATCATAACTAAACTAACAAACAAACAAACAAATAAACAAACAACAACAATAAAATTAATTGAAACATTGGCAACAACAGTACAACAAACAACAAACCTCAACGACAACAACAACCAAAAAACGTCAACAACAACAAACCACAACAACAAACAAATTACAACAAAAACCAACAAAACAAACCAAAACAACAAATCACACCAACAACAAACAACAACCAACAAGCAACAACATGAGCAAGCATCAAACAACCTGGACTGCACTGTGAAAGCCACAGCATGGCTCGCTTCATCGTCTCCGAGAGCCTCTCAAACAATGGTATGCCAATGATACCCCCTGAACTCAACATGACCGGTTCAAAGGTCACGTAGTTTGGGTTCAGTTGTTGATATTGTTGATGTGTGTTTCGCTGCTGGTTTCGTGGTAAGTGTAGAGAACAAGAATGCGTTAATCGTCTTTGGCGATGTTGTTGTTGCTGATGTTGTTGTTGCGGAAAATTGAGTGAAGTCTGACGTCTGAGTTGGTATTGATGTTTTTGTTGTTTCTCTGAGAGTTTCTGTTGCTGCTTCTCCAGGGAAGTTCCATCTTGAGAAAGTGATTTGAAAAGGGAAATGAACCTGGGCCTGCTTACTTTACAACCGTCGTTTACCTTCGAAGAATGTTCAACGTCGACTCGATCGTCATTTTTTGTTTGTTTATCAAAAGCTGCGTGGATTGAGCAAAAGTCGGCACTCCTATTTGCGACGGTCTGGATGGGCGCATCTTCCGTCAAACTCGTGTTTTCGTCGTTTCGCAAATTGGGCGACGATGACAAAAAAGATAAAGGTGAAGATCTGAGTGAAGATGATACCGGTGATGAGGATGTTGGGTTGCTGGCTGACGTCATGTCATCCTCGTTTCTTAAGAACGGTCGAGTGAAACATATGCGCACGATTCGAAGGTACTTGGTCGTGTATCGCCCAGACTCCACGTAGAATGAACTCTGCGTGTCCAAATTCTCGCTACCTGGTTATGAATATTGAATATAAAAAACGTTTCATGACGTTGATTGTTCATTGGGATTGGCGTCGCTGCATGGATTGTCCTGATGGTTCTGAACGAGGCGGAGTGTTTACATTGAACTGCACATGGGATTGTGACGACGACGAAAACGATGCTACTATGTTGTGTGGGATCAGGATTGTTTGAATGATATGAGTGGAAACATGTTTGCTGTGCTTCAATAGATTCAATATGGATGGTGATGTCATGAATGATGATATCGTAAATAATGATATTATGGGTAACACTGTTGATATGAATCATATTTGTGCAAGAAATCAGAAATTGTATCCATGTATCATGTTGTCAATTTCAAATGTGGAGGAAAAAAATATAAAAACCAAAATTTTTTTCAAAACGCCTCCTGAAACAGCAAAATGAAACATATTATTACACTGAAAATACAAAATCTAGTTAGAAAATTTATACAAATCCGTTATTTATTTTAAAAGTTAAAATTGGATTGTAACAAAAATTGATGTGGATGATTTTGAACTTAGAAAAACGAAAATAACTTTAGTAGCTTTCACAAAAATTCAACAACGAAAAAATCCATCCACGTATGGAGGCACATTAGTGGCGGGCTTATTTGTAATTTGCTTCTTTTCTTAATTTATATAACATTAATTGGAGAAAATTAGTAAAATACTTAAAATTAATGAATAATCAAAACTGAACAATGTATTTGTGACAACAAATTAAAAAAAATTTTTAACACATTGGCAACCAAAGGTTACGTCAAATAACAACACAAAAAGCATAGAACATATATTTCTCGGTTCTAAACGCTTGCATTACTTGATTAATAAAGAAAACCAAATAGAAGGAACAATTTAGTGGAAATGAAAAAGTTGATAACAAAAATTACAGCATATCAAGGTTAAAACGACCAACAACTGCATCAACAACAGCATCAACAGCAACAACATCAACAAAAACATCAGCATCAGCATTAGCAGCAGCAACAACAGCCTCAACATTAGAAACAATTTCAACAACAACATCAACAACAAAAACAATATCAACAACAACATCAACAACAATAACACTTAAGACAAGACAGCTGCAACATCAACAACCTCAGCAGCAACATCAACAACTACATCAGCAACAAAATGAGTATAAAAACATCAGTTGCAACACTACTAACAAGAGCAACTTTAGAAAACAACTCGTAATCAAAAACGCAAAGCCCATTAAATCCTCAATTTCATCATCGTCGTAAGGTGGCAGTAAAGTACACACTCAATCAATTTCCTAATTCATTCATCACGATCGCAACATGTCGGTGAAATGCTTTCACTTTAACGCCACTTTACGTTTGTAATTTATGTCCTCTAAGTAACTAGCTGAACCCATTTTCTCAATGAGATGCTGTCGTCAGCGTGGCAGCCGGCCAGCCAGCCAGCCAGCCAGCCAGCCAGCAATTGTGGCTGAAGACTGAGACGTTTCTAGCAGAACTTCAAAATATCAAATGTAGCTAACATAACATGATCGTCACAGAAAACATTTTAATGTAAAAAAGGAAAAATGTTTTGTTTTCAGTTCTTTCTTTTTGTAATAACAAAGCTTTTAATTTATACATTGCTTAATTTGTAATTTTTTCAAATGTTTCTATTCGCATCATTAATTGTTTTCAGTAGATTTTGATTGAATGGGTATTGCATAGGAAGTTCACGTTTTCAACCCATCAACTCATAAAGGATTATATTTTGCATTTCATAAAAATTCAATTTTTTTTAAAAGCTTACAGAGGTTTAACTCGAAATGACAAAAAAAATATTTTTGAATATTATTTAAAAAAAATAAATCATGTCCTCGAAAAAATATAGAAAGTTGTTTAGATACTTCATTATAACAACGTTTTTTGACAACACTAGACTCCACTGGACATTTCTGACCACCCCAACACTCAGAACGGAGAACAATTAATAAATAAATAAGTTATAATGCTAAGCTAAGCACTGCTCGGTCTGTTTGTTGCAAATTTACTGCCGAGAAGTGATGCACTTGCATTTCAATAATTTCAATAACTGCATTTACGTGTAATTTTACATAATATTCTGTTGAATTAGATTTAATTAAACTTTTTTAATTAGTTCAACATATTCGTAAGAAAATTTTTTTTTGGGGAATTTTCATTCAATTGAAAGGAAGCCAGCATGAGGTAATTATTGCCAGAAAGATAATTTAACTTGTTGGGATAACTTCTGTAGCAGTTGACGATGACAGATGACTGCTGACTTTCACTGACAGCCTGACATGTTCAGATCGCTGGCATTATGAATTGGTGTATTGTTGTATTGATGTGATGCATGGATGTATTGATGCCATGCATTAATGTATTGATGTGATACATTGATGCATTGATGTGATGCATTGATGCGTTGATGTGATGCATTGATGCGTTGATGTGATGCATTGATGCGTTGATGTGATGCATTGATGCGTTGATGTGATGCATTGATGCGTTGATGTGATGCATTGATGTGTCGATGTCATGCATTTATATATTGAAGTTATGCATAAATATAATTCAGCAGAATATCGATATATTATTTTTGTATGTATTGATGCCATGAACAGATATATTATATTGGTGTTGTACACACACACGCACGCACACACGCACTCACAACATTTCTCTAATACACATTCCATCATCTAACGCCCCATTATGAGAAACTCGAGCGGATGGCCCGTAGTTGGGACTTGTTGAGATAATATTTATTTATTTATTAAAAAATTAATTTAATTTTTTTTACAGTTTTATAGATATAGATTACAGTTATTTAAATTATTCAACAACATTTTGAAATTTTTGTGAACATTGTTTTTAATGAAGCTGTTCAAATTCAATTTTGTAAATTTTTTAAAAATAATTTTTTTAATTTAAAAGATATATTTTAATTATAAAAAAATTTAAATAAATTTTTGTGGAGTGCTTTTGAAAAAATAAAAAATAAATAACCATTTTTTCCGTTTCATTGAAAGATTAATAAAGACACAACTTGTTGTTAAGTTTTTCTCAAACCAGTTTTGTTCAAAAAAAACAAAAAAAATTTCCAGTGGGACAAATTTTTGGCGATGTTCCATCTAATTTGTCAATCAAGCATTGATCTTATCTGCTCTTCATTTTGGTCTGTCAACATGACATCAACTTAAAAGATGGATAAAGTTTATTGATTGATTTTGCCTATTAAAGCACCATTCATGTGAGGGATCATTAGAATGAATTTCAAACTATTTAAAAATTTCATGTTCTCTGCTAGTTATTGAAAGTATTTGTTTTGGGCGGAGAATTTTTCTGAAACTTTTTTTGTAAAATTTATTTTATCAACTGTAGTATCTGCGATCAATATTTGAAGAACGGAACATGAAGCAGGAGGAAGTTGTTCTCGCACGGTGTAGCGTGAAATAAAGCATCACCTCTGCAGATGAAATAAGTTGCAAGGAGCAATCAATCATAGGCCGTGTGCTTAGAAATTTCTCTGGCTTCGATGATTCATGTGACGCCCGACCATCCATCAACCTTGAAGGCCATTGAATAATTAAAAATGATCACACACACACACACACGCACACACACAGTAACACACACAGATACACACACGTACACAGACAACTCTGTTTGTTATCTTTCACAATAAACTTGGTTGTCAATTTTTTAATATTTCTGAAATAGAGCATAAAATATACATTTGCATGCAGTGATGATGAATCATTCGAAAGGTTTGAAAAATTGTTTTATTACATTCAGTTAAGTTATAATAATTTCATAAACAAATAAAATAAGGAATAAATTTTTTACGGCGTTATTTGATATTACATGAAAAATTAAAATAACATAAATGCAATATGATGGAAAATTTTTAAACAATATTTACACGTGTTTAAAAAAGGAAAGAATGTAGAAGCAATCGATAAAAAGATAGTTGCATGTTCCAGTTGATGCTGTATAGAAATAAATCAGCCGCGTGCCTACAACAATCTCAAGTCCATTCATTAATTTTTTAAATGTTCGTTCCAACATATCCTAACAAATTTAAATTCATTACGCCTATCTGTTTGTGAATTATGTATTTCACTAATTAATCTTGAAAATGCCTCAAAATGTGAATAACTTTAAAGTATATATGAAAGAAGTGGAAAATGATTTGAAACGTACTGCTGTCGTCCTTCAGTTTGTAGTCGACGGATTGGATGTTCGTGACTCGAATGTTCCTCTGGTGCCTCAACCAGGCGGACGACTTCCTGAAGACTTGCTCGAACGATTCGAAGCGAGGCACTGCAAACTGGCTTCCTGGGTCCAGGTTGCTCGGAACAAAATCGGCGCAACCTATTTCAATTTAAAAATTTATAACACTTAAACTTTATATTTGTTTACGTGAAAAACTCAAAATTCAAAAAATTTATTGCTGATCTTTGATTAAATTGACGTGAAAAAACGTTTGCGTGTTGTATTGAAGCGACGTGAAGAGCCAGAACAAGCGTGGAGGAAAACAATGGAAGCAGGCGGCACGCAAGTTGCACGCACGCAAATATATCAGATTTAAGTTGAGATTAATTTGTGGCTGCCTGTTTGATTGGTGGTTACGTTCAATAAGGTTGAAGAGATCCGAGATGGAGATACGTTGATTTGTAGGATGCTAGGGAGGGGAGAGATATGTTAAAGATTTCTCTCTCTTTTGCGTTTGCTTTAGAGGTTTCAACGACAAACAAAACACATCGTATATGAACACGCGTGCAAACCACGCATCATACACATTGCATATGATAGGCGGGGATCTCTTTGTATTCGAACCCAGTCATAGCAATAGCAAGACCAGGCGCCTTTAACCATTGAGCCACACACACACAGCGTATATGAATACGCGTGCAAACCACGCATCATACACATTGCATATGATAGGCGGGAATCTCTTTGTATTCGAACCCAGTCATAGCAATAGCAAGACCAGGCGCCTTTAACCATTGAGCCATCACGCCGCCCAATGTTAATGTTGATTTGCTCCAAATTTCGATTTCTTAATTTTGTTTATGTCTGCTGCACAGTTTTTATGTGAAAAATAAATAATTAAAATGGGAAACATTTCTTTCTGAACTCATGCCAAAAAGAATGTAACACACGTTCGTGTTAATGTAACACACGTTCATGTTGGCAAGCAGCTGCACACCAATCTGAATATCAATGTACAAGAAAGCATGAATTTGGTTGAGTTTGATGAATTGTTACATTTTGAGAAAATTCTGTTAAAATATTTTATGTTGTTGAATATTATGTAAACTATTATTGTGTCTGTGGCAATTAGATATACCTTTTAAATCTATCTGTGCTTTTTATTAGTGAATCTAGTTTTTATATATGTTGCCATTTGCATTATTAAAGTATTTCGTTAATAAATAAGCATTATTAAACTTAATTGTTTGTTATTATGTTTATTATATCTCGCTCCAGTTATCAGAATGTACCATGGCAACCTCAATGTTTTTACAGGTTATGGGCTCAGGTCTCGACTGATGTTCAATGGAGGCGAAAGGAAATACAAATTATGGGAGGTAAAATTCATGGGTTTTATGCTGCTACAAAAACTACATGATGTTTTCATGAGTACAGATGATCTTGAAGAGGAACAAAATGTTGAAGTAAGTCAAAACACAAAATTGTATCTCTGTACAACGAATTAACAACTCTTTCTAAACGTGAAACAGAAATTGTGATAGATTGCATGTTACGAGCTGAGACCATAGCTTAGTCATTAAAGACAGCTGGTGAGGTGATAAGTGACAGTCTCCTCATCGCCATGATTCTGAAAGGTTTGCCACAAAATTACAAAACATTCTGTACTGTTAAAACACAGAAAGATAGAGAACAATCATTTGCAAAATTCAAGGTTGCACTTCGTAGCTTTGAGGAAACAGAAAAACAGAACTGTCCTCATAGTAGTGAGGATACTGTAATGATGAACTACACAAAACCCATGCAGTGTTTCACATGTCACAAATATGGACACAAGTCATTTGAATGTAAAACTCTCAAAGAGCAAAAATAAAATGCAAAGACAATTTAGAATAAAAGATGTGAGATATGCAAAAATAAATCTCATAATACACGCCAATGTAGAAAGAACAAAACTAGTGCAAAATCGGTTTTAGAAAACCAACAAGAAGAAAAACAACCATATTCATTTTTCAAAGCCTCAGAAAGTCAAGGCATTAGATGTAATAATCTACTTGTAGATTGCGGTGCAATAACCCATATTGTTACTGACAAATCAAAATTTGTACACCTAGAAACAAATTTTAAATCCACCAGTCACTGTATTGAGTTAGCAGATGGCTCTACACCAACTGGGATAGTGAAAGGCAGGGTTGCCATTACACAGTTCAGACAGAAAAAATAGAGATGTCTATCTGGAGAATACGTTTTATATTCCGTCATATCATCAAGATATTTTTTCTGTTCAAGCAGCAACAGAAAAAGAAGCTACAGTTAATTTTAACTCCTATTATGCACAACTCGTTTATTCAAATAATACTGTCTTTAACATTTGTGAATGCAGAAGTCTGTATTATCTAAAAGGTGATGTCGACAGAACCAATGTAAAACATAGTCTGTACGAATGGCACGGTATCATAGGTCACTGCAACTTCAATGACATCATTAATCTGAGAATCTGTAGTTGAAAAAATAAAAATAACTAACAAGTCAGAAGTTTAATGTAACGATTGCATTCTTGGAAAGATGACACAGTCCTTCAACAGGCACAGTGAGAGGCGTGCCAAAAAACCACTGAAACTTGTTCATAGTGATTTAAGTGGTCCTGTCATACCCCCAGCAAGAAACGGTTTTAGATATGCTATATCGTTTGTTGATGATTTCTTTGGTGTATGTACCGTTTATTTTTTACGACAAAAATGTGATACTGTCCATGCCGCTGAGAAGTTTTTCGCTGATTATGCTTAAATCGGACAAGTCAAATGTTTGACAACCGACAATGGAGCAAAATTCACAAATAGAAATTTTAGATCATTAATACTGAGAAATTGCATCAAACACGAGAAATCTGCACCATATTCACCTCATCAAAATGGAACAGTTGAACGAAGTTGGAAATCTTTGTTTGACATTGCAAATGCTTATTGATATAATCAGAACTGCCAAAAAAATTGTGGACATATGCAGTGCGCGTGGCGGCATACACACGTATAGATGTTTTTGTCCATGAGCAGGAAAAACACTTTATGAAAGTATGACTGGCAGAGAACCTAACCTGTCTTGCGTGTCTTTCTTCGGTTCAACGTGTCATACTTTTTTTTACAAAATAAAAGTAAATTTGATTCGAAGAGTGAAATAATCACTAAAGTCTTGTCTATTTCCTGTATTTCAAAAATTCTGGAGCTGTGAAAAAGTCAAGATGTGTGGGTTTCACAAACAACATAAATGCAAATGAAATTGAATAGGATGTTAGTCATGATTTTGAAGAGACTTTAATTATATTGATAAAAAAGTGATGTCGCTAAAGCTGAGACTGTGACACAAAACAAACCCACAACTGTAAATGTGAATCCTGTGAAAGAGAATGATGAGAGCAATAATGCAGATATTTCAACTATAACCCAAAGTAAATCAGATTTGGAATCGATTGTTTGCAGATATCCTATGAGAAACATAGAAAACGAAAATCTAAATAACTACGTTCTATAGGATAACTCAGCAAATACTACTGATCATTACCGCTACATAATGAAGCCGTAACTTCTTCCAATTTTCGATATTGGAAACAGGCTATGTTGGAAGAAATGAACTCGTTATCAGACAACTACACTCTTGAACTATGCCAATTACCAAAAGACCAAAATGTAATCGGAGGTCGTTAGATATATACAATCAAGCTTCAACCGGACGGCGATGATCAATATAAGGCTTAATATGTAGCAAAAGGTTATTCTCAGGTTCAAGATAAAGATTACTATGAAACTTTTTCGCCAACTGTTCGAGTTACATCTATATGAATGATAATTCAATTAGCAGTGCAAAACAACTTGGTTATTCACCAAATAGACGTTAAAAGAGCTTACTTAAAGGCAACCATAGATGCTGAACTGTACATCAAACAACCTGAGAGATTTATAGTTGAAAATAAAACTGATGATAATCTTATTCTGAAATTAAATAAATCTCTATATGGCCTGAAACAGAGTGGTAGAAATTGGAACAATTTGTTACATGATTACTTGGTCTCTGAAAGTTATGAACAGTCACCAACTGATCATTGTGTTTATACTCGATTCAGCACAGATTCGAAGGTTATCCTTCTTATTTGGATTAATGATATTATCATTGCTGCTAGTAAAAAATCCCTCTTGGAACTTGTAAAACAATCTATGTGTTCAAAGTTCAAAACAAAGGATCTTGGCAAATTATCATAGTTCCTTGGAATACAGTTTACCCACTCATCTGAGGGTAACATGATTGATATGAATCTGTCAATATATATTGAAAAAATAATGTCAAAATACAATATGAGTGGCTGCAAACCAAGGTCCACACCATGTGATATAAACTTGAATAGATTGAAAAAAAAGATAATTTTACTGACTTTGCTGATGACAGACCTATTGTCGGAAGCTTAATCTACGCTATGACTGTTACAAGACCTGATTTGTGTTTTGCCATTTCCTACCTGCCACAATTCATGTCAAAACCAACAAAATTTCACATGATGACGATTAAACACGTACTGCGATATTTGAAAGGAATAATTAATTATGGCCTAACATTCAAGAAGTCTCATGTTGATTTAAATTTGATTGGATATTGTGATGCTGACCGGGCAAATTTACAGGATCGTCATAGAATTGCTGGATATGGTTTCACGTTGTTAGGAGAGTGGATCATTAATATCTTGGAAGTCCAGGAAACAACTAACCATTGCCCTTTCAACTTGCGAGGCTGAATATACGTCAATGTGTGCAGCTGTGCAGTAAGCTAAATTTTCGAAGCAATTTTTAACAGACATGACTCGAAGAATTTAAGACACGTCTGTTATACTTAATGTTGATAATAAGTGCAATCGAGTTATCAAAGAATCCTGTTTTTCATCAGAAATCAAAACATATTGATATCAGATACCACTTCATTAGATCAGAAGTACAAAATGGCTTCATCCAGTTAAAATATATTCCATCCAGTGATAACATTGCTGACATTTTCACAAAACCGTTGTCTTCAATCAAACTAAAACTATTTATTACTCTAGTATGAAAGCAAATAGTACAGAAGAAAAGAAAGAAGAAGATGCAAAGTTTTGATTTTGATGAGAGTGATTGTGATGAGGATGATGATGGTCATTTTTATTAATATTTTTTTGCGTGTTATGTTGCTTGTATAGGAAACATTTAACATTTCAATTTAATATTACTAGGTTTGTTATATTTGTTGAAATTGCATTACAGAACATGGACACATTAAGTTTAAGGAGTGTTGAATATTATGTAAACTTATATTGTGTCTGTGGCCATTAGATATACCTTCTGAATCTTTCCGCGTTGCTTATTAGTGAATCTAGTTTTTATATGTCACCATTTGCATTATTGAAGTATTTTGTATTTCGTTAATAAATAAACATTATTAAACTTAATTGTTTGTTATTATGTTTATTATTATATCTCGCTCCAGTTATCAGAATGTACCATGGCAACCTCAATGGAACGGTGTCATGGGCAACGGTTATATTGGAATTAACGGCTATTTATTTATCAATTTTAATTTCAAAATGCTCTTAAAATACTCTTTGTTTAAATTTCTAAATCTATGGGAATCATTAGTATTAATAATTTCCATCTATTAACCCAAACAAATGTGTGTTGTCTGTTTGTATAACACAACAACATAACCATAATAAATTAGCTACATTTTGTATTTCTAATTTTTTGCGGTACAATTAGGCTTTGATTTTGTATTGTTGATCGTGTGAAGTGTGTCTAGTGTTATTCTGTGTATTTAGTGAAGTTTTGAAAGGTTGTTAGCTTATAATGAACGATGGTGATCAGTTGTTTGAAATGTTTTAAATTTAAATTACGTAAGAACTTATTGGAATCAACGCTGAGGTGTTCATAGTCACATGAAAAAATTAAAAAAAATTATTTCTTCAGCTATTTTGCGATTGTTTTTTGCTTAGGTATGTTTTGGTATTTTTTTTTATAATATTTTCTATACAACTTTAAACTTTTCAAAATTTCTCAAACATTATCCTATCTTAAATAAACATTATTCATATATTATGTTTCTAATTTAGTCATGGCATTCAAATTTATTTGATATTTTCATTTTATTTATTGTTAAACTTTAATCACTCAACAGAATTGTTTGTTCTGCGTTTCAATTATAAAGCAAAATTGACAATGCAACCAATCAAATTATGCATTGTTTCTACACTTCAAAACTTCATTTGCCTCTTGGGTCTCTAGAAAATTTCAAATGTTATTTTTTCACTTAGTTGAGTTTTTCATAACTTGGAACTAAAAATTTCTATTTACGCAAATAATTACTAGAAGAAGTTTATGAAAAGAAAAAGTCAACGTTAAAATGTTGCAAGGCTTGTTATCACATGCTTCGGCTATCAGATGCCTCGGCTATCAGATGCTTCAGTTTGTTTGTCTGCACGGAAGTAGAAAATTATGTTTGTTTTTGAACAGCAGAAAATAAGTAAGTTTGTTTTAAGTGTGTATGCGTCTGTCTGTGTATGCGTCTGTCTGTACAACAATGTGTTTGTTTATACATCAATATGTTTGTTTGTTTGTACATCAATGGATTTGTTTGTATGACTATGCATTTGTGTGTTTTTACATTTATGTGTATGTTTTCAAATGTTCATATGTCAAATTTATGGCAAAACTTCTGTGAACGGTCAACCAGATAATATTTGGTAGCGCTAAAATGTACATTTAAAAGAGTGCTGATTATTTGTTTTCTTTGAGTACAAAACTAACATTTGTATGCATTTAATTGTCCTGCAAAAAAATGAAAAGAATTCAATGCAAACTGATTAATTTGAACACTTTAATATAGTATAAAATCAACATAAAAATCGTTACTGTTGAATTTTTTCTCTGCCAATAAAAAACGGTTGAAATTATTTTCAAATCCTTAAAATTTATTCTATTCCAAATACATTTTAATTAATTATATTTTCAGAAATAAAAAATTTACCTTGTAAAAAATGCTGAAAGTATTTAAAATTAAATAATTAGATGCCGCTACAACAACCGGGTCTCTGGACGCAAAACGAAAATTGATTGATTGATTGATTGATATTTGTGTTCTAAATTATATTTACTTCCATACTTCCATGGTTAATAATTATAAAGATTTTGGTTCTTATCGTTAGATTTGTCTTTCACCACTGCTGTCGTTGTCAACAAATTTGTTTCCATTTCGCAAACGTTTTACTAGAAAAGTTTGTAAGTTATTTTAACAAATTCAATCCCGTACCAAATGAAAATGAAATTCTAAATCAGCACAATAACACTACTACTTTGTCAGTCACGACTGAACAAAATGCTCTAAGTACAGAATTATTATTATTGACACAGAAATAGGAAACAATAATGATAATTCCACTCCAGTGAAAAATAAATACACTGAAACAGGTGAAATTACAACAACTTTTTTTTTTTTACCAAGATAGCCTTTTTCCTTCCAAGTCTTGATTATGAACAATTGAACGATCTACTTTTAAAACACGGGCCATGTCAGCCAAATGAAGATTATGTGGTTGTTTTAGTGATGCTAAAGGACGCATTAATTCTAGCTATTTCACAATAACATCTTTAAAATAAAAGATAAAACTAAATTGTCTATCATATTCACCAAAATTAAAATCAGTACTGTCACTTGTGTTGATTATTTGGAGATGGCAATTCAACACATTTCCGCTTTGAATGGGTTAATGGTCATGTTTCAAAATATGAAATTTTACCAGGAATCTTGTCATCCTCAGTGCATTAAAGTTGAAAATATACATCAAAATATACATCTATACATCATGAGAAAATGCGAATTGATAAAGAAGTTTTGCGCCATAGGAACAAGTTTCATGCATCAAGTACTGAAGATGATTGAAAAATCGAAATAGGCCCTACATACTCGAGAATGAATTGGAAAATTGCATATTATTCTAACTTTAATAAAATAAATAATAACGACTAGAATTTGGTTAGAAACATTGGGAAATGTAATAAAAAACTATCCAACGCTAGAAAGTCGGTAGATTCCATAAATTACTGCATTAATCATGGTCTTTTACTCCATCTTTCTCGTGAGTCAATAGCAAAGCCAAGTGCTGAAGTTGGTTGAAAAATCGAAATAGGTCCTATACACTCGAGAATGAAATGGAAAACAATTTTAACTTTAAAAAATAAACAATAGCGACAAGAATTTGATTAGAAACAAAATTCTGTTTTTCCTGTATCCATCCGATTATGGAACTCGCTACCGACTGATGTTAAAAACATAGCTACGTTAGGCTTATACAAACGAAGAATTGTAGATCTGATTAAATCTGTTTTTTATCTTTTTTTTTACTTCATGTATATATATGTATATATATATATATATATATATATATATATATATATATATATATATATATATATATATATATATATGTATATATTTATGTATGGGTATGTATATATAATTATTTGTTTTATTATTTCTGCCCTGTTATTTTTTCTTTCCTTTTTTCTCTCTCAAACATTTTTTGTTTCATGATGTATTGGCAACTATTGACATTCATTGCTTTTTCTGTTATTAATATTATATTTACTGTTACTTATGTTAAGGGTGACCTAACAAACTTGTTTTTTGCCGAATAAAAGTTTTTTTCTTTCTATTTCATTCCCATTCTCAATTTTTACTTGCTATCATTTCAACTGAAAAAAAGTTGATCAATTGGATATGGGTGAATTAATAAAAAAATTCTGAATTTAAAGCCAGAAAAATTTTTTTACAAATGTAATTTATATAAATTAATAATTTGTTCATGTTTTTTAAATATGAATCGGTGTTTTTGCTTAAAGTTTGTTTTCAAATGATTTTTCTAATACAGTGAAATGAGATTACATTTTGGATAATCAGATTTTGTTTTATTTTTTCAAATCAAAAATTATTGGAGAGGGCGGCAAATTTGCATGTTGCCTATGCACTAAAAAGTTTTAGAACCGGGCCTGGTTTACACGAAGATGAACAAATACTGTTTAATTGACATTTTGTACATGATTTCTATATGAGCTTTGAATGTCTTCAAAAATAAAATTTATTTTCAGTCAGTGTTACTCTAAAATTGAAAAAAACTTTAAAAATTAGGATTTTTTGTAATTTTTTGAAAACGTAAAAAGGACAGGAGTGTGGCAGAGAAAGAATGGAGAAAGTGATAAATTATTCACGTGCGCCAACACCGAGCCGACCAACCAACATCCACAGCCATTAGCAGCAATTTCCATTTTCACCAGTATTACTCATTTTCCCGGGACGACTATCACTAGCACTATCACTATTTCTGTTGTTAAAAAATTATTTGATCAAAATTAGAAAGCATAAAATTTTTTTTACAAACCTTTCGCTTGAAATTTGTCATTAAATAAATTTACTTTGTAAAATTTGAGAATATTTTAAAATTTGTAATTTTTAAAAATTACAAAAAAATTTTCTTTCAATCTATTTATTTGGAAGCGTGCTACGTTCAAATTCAAATGTGTTCTACCGCACATTTCAATTGTTATCGCAAACCGAGCTGTGAATAACGCAAGTGCACTCCAATCCATTTGCACGAACTTGTCAAGAATTCATTTTTCATTTCTTGAGTGTCAATTCATATTGAGAAGAATAAACGAAAAATATTTCAGTAAAAATCAAACTACTTTTGATAAACAACTTGAGTTTAAACGTACAGAAAGAGTAACTTTGCTTAAGATTAATGATATTAAACACAATTTGAACAGAAAAATGAAGAACACAACAAACCGATCTCTTCGTAGGCGGGCGGACCCAATTCGAAAAAAACTCTGATGACGACGAGGAAGGAGAGATTGAACTTAACACTTTCGACCCAGCAGGATTCGTCCGGATCCGCTCCCAATCCCCAATCATGAAACTTCATTTCTTGCGATTCAATAGTTATTATCCGTCCTGTGTGTTTAATTAGATTAGAAAAATATTTTCAATTAGTTATTATAATAACATAATGTTTCCATTTATTTTTTATTTTCAGATGGTTGAGAAGAACACGATGAGGTTAGATATTCCACACTTGACTTGACTTTCTCATATATTATTTACTTGCGCAACATACAAAACTTGACATAGACGGCATTTTCAACTAACTCTAACATGCCACCAACACACCTGACGCATTTTTTCAAATAATTAAAGATGGAGATAGATGCAATGATGTTTGCAGTAGATAAGATGATGATGCTGATCAACAACAAACACATCAACTAAAAGTCATAAAAAAATTTCCAATTAAATTTTGATAATTGTTCAGAGAAGAATAAATTTGTTTTGTTACAATCGGCCAGTTTTTTCGTTCTAATTTAAAAACAACCTCAACCTATGGAGACAAATATTTGTGTTTCTATGCCATTTCTTAAGAGTTATAAGGCAGGAAGATTTCATGAAAGAGTTTTTAAAACAAACCGAGATGATAAAGTAGAAAACTTAACTACGAAACCACGATAATATTTCAAATTGGCACTTTAAATTGCACGTTGTAACAACACGTCCAAAGAATTATTTTCATAAAAGTTTTGAAATAAACATTTATTTTTTTAATTTAGACAGAGGTAACAAATGAAATTATTTACAGTTGGACCATTTTTAAAAACTGAAAGTATAAGAAATGAAATTAGTCGGTCAAGTCACATGTGGAAAGGAAGTTGTGAGTTTAAAAGAATGGAAATTGTCTAACGAAACAAAAAAAATGTGAAGAGAAAAACTATGAAAAAAAAAGTGAAAGAAAAATATTGGGAAGCCGCATGTTGAAGTGGAATGACCACTCGTGTTAAACCTCAGATGGACAATTGACGTGACGCAAACGAAAAAAATAAAACGTAATTTACGGTAATAAATATTCAAAAATGTGTCTGGCGCTTTCGAAATTTTGTTATGATGGCAAAAAATAAAATTTGCTTTATAAATAATTTAAGCGGAAACCTATGACAAACAGAAAAATTTTCTGTGGAGCCAAAAGTTTGAAAGAAAAAAAATGCAAATAACACGAGTTTCATGAATGACTGTGTGTGTGTGTGGATGTGTGTGTGTGTGAGTGTATAAATATATATAAATGCATGTGAGTATATGTTTATATACGAATGGATGTATGTATATGATTGTACAACATGAATGTTGATGAGATGACGATGAAACGTTACTGGCTCCAAAGGCCGAAAATGGTGATGATGATGATGTTGTTAAATTATGATGGTAATGTTGGCGTTGCAGATGACGATAATGATGACTTGATAATGGTAAGGACGACGACGATGATGATGGCGATGATGATAACGATAATGGTTGTGATTATGATTATAGTGACGGCACGGGTAATGCTTGTAACGATAATGTTATATGTTACTCATGTTACAATCATGTTACAAGTGACGATTATGACTATTGTTGTCGTGATTTAAAAACAAGAAACGTATCCAGCGGAGTTGAGCGGATGCCTGCCCACCAACAACGATGATGACGAACATTAGAACCACAACCGATGATGACGACCTGCACCAGATGAGTGATAACAAACTCTTCTCAGTCTATCGTACCGGCAGGGAACTTCGTCTCGAAGCCCTGCATGACGAACGCCAGCCAGGTTTACAATCGCATATCGCGTGGTTAAAAATCAAGTCAACTGAGATGACAACGAGCGAGCGATGGCGCGGTTGGTCTCATTCATTCTTCCATTCCTAACAAACC